GTGTGTGTGTGTGTGTGTGTATGTGTGTATGTATGTAAGATAAGGGGTCAAATTAATACTAGATCCCTACAGGAAGCTAACTGTAGAAAAGAAAAAAAGAACATGGGTTATGAAACAACGATTTGGTTAAAATTCAGTTGCAAAGTGTGATTTATTGCCCTGAAAACTATTCAGATTCTTTTAAGAACCAAAACCTCCATCTGCTCCTGAAGTGGGCCAGAGTGCAAGGCTGTGGTTTGAGTCGCCAGCTCTGAGGCATGAATATGTAAAGCTGAGGAAAAGAGGATGAATCATCAGTAAAAGCTTTTCCTGAATAAATAAAAGTCTTAGATACTTACACCACATCTCCTGCATAGTGTCTGACGCGAAAGTCTCTGTCAAACTCCAAACTCTTGTCAGTTGGTGAGAGCTGCAGAGACAGACGAGAAGAGAGAGCAGCGAGTGAGCAATGACACGGTAAAGTGTTCCTCAGAACAATGTATTAAAAGCATAGAGCCTTAAGGCAAAGAAAGAGACATTCACCATCTATCTAAAAATATAAAGTAGTGTTACATCAGTGCTGCTTGTTAGTACTGTACAGCTAAGCTTTCCAATTCAAATCACAAGTGTTCAGCTCCAAAATAAGCAGACATGGGTCAGATTTAACCTATTAACCTCCTAGGACCTGGCGTCCACATATGTGGACATCGCATTTTGGGTTATTTAGACCAAAATACTCAATTTTGCTCTACAAAGGCCTGATATCCACTTACGAGGACATTATACTGCTACTGTTCTATCAAAATTTTAAACGAATATCCTCATATGTGGCTCTTATTTTTCTTAAAAACAAAAATAAGGTAAAATAATATCTGGTAATTCTTTCTTTTTACAGAAATCAGCCCAAATATCAAAGAGAAATTAAAAATGCATGCCGTGGAAGAGTTCGGGTCTTAGGAGGTTAAAAAAAAAAACACCACACCATCAACAGAGTGGATATCAGTGCAACATTATGTACTTGAAGGCCTTGTTTTTATTGTTGCTTGATCATCATCACTGCAGGGCCAACACAGCAACGGCCATTCAAGCTCACATTCACAAGTTAACCTAACACGCACCAGAGAGAACATATGCAGGCACTGGGAGAACATGCAAGCTCCACACAGAACCCAGCAGGCCAGTGGGTTCAAACCCAGGACCTTCTTGCTATGAAAAGCGTAAGGTTGACAGATGCATCAGGGGCAACCTGGGTTTAGGTATGTTACCCAAGGATCCTTAGATACGCAGAGCGAAGGAGCCGGAGATTAGTAAATGACCCAGCTTATTTCCTGAGCCACAGGCGACCCCATAAAAAACCTGATTTTATTTTCTTCTCCAGTGCCTTTAATGCAGCTCTCTACATGACAAACTATTAAAGTTAAACTGTATAGAGTGATGGGCAGAGCTGTTACTGCAAAAGTAGATGCAACGGGGCAGAAAACACCAAGACTGTCGTCTCTGATAATGTCTCACAGAACAGAGCAATGAGGGGGGAGGACCGAAAGAAACAAAAGAAGGTGAAAACATTCAAGGCACAGGCAATAGACATGGCAGCAGAGATGAGACAAGGAGAAAGAAGAGGGATATGTGTGGTGTGATTGGAAGAGACAGAAGTAAAAAAAATAAAGTGTGTGTGTGTGTGTTATACTGACACATGTATGTAGGCCAGTGACAGCAGAGCAAAGAGGGAGGAAGCATGAATGGAGATGCAGAGAAGTCTTCCGCAGCCCTGAAACAGCCTCTGATGAGCACATCAGGGTTCTTATTTCATCCACAACTGCACAGCAGCGAGTTCATTATGGGCTGTGCCGCTGGGTAAAGTAAGTGTGTGTGTGTAGATGAGTGAGAGGCATCCCGAGATTCTGTCGCAATCCCAAGGAGACACAAGTGATTAGGAAGAGAAGGGTGAGGGTACAGGAAGCAGCAAGATTATTAACAAGGAGAGGAAAAAATAACCCGTGAAAGCCCCTGGGATGGATATCTAAACATGGGTCGGGAAAGAAAAGCCCTGACAGTCACAGAGTATTGCCAGAAGTATACGGACAGGGCTTTGGTCTGACCTTTGTTATAAAAAGTTTCATACTCATTCATCAGCAGAAAGCTTGGTCTGGCTCCTCAGATATGTGAAAATATTCTGCTTTGTTTTGTTTTTTAAAAAAAAAATATATAATTGTAAACTAAATTCTTTGGGGTTTAGACTGCAGGACATTTTTTCTGTTTTTCCTTCATTTTGTTAAACATTTTCTAAAGCAATTAATCTACTAATTACTTGCATAATTAGTTGCCTGGAAGACTGAAAACAGCTAGACAGACTGTAAGGCTACCCTGAACACATGTCCTGTCTATTTCAGGTAAGCTTTAAACCACCAGGGCTGTAAACACATCACATTCACAGATATCACTGGTCATGTGTGGGGGGTATAACTAGCAACCAGAAGGTTGGTTGTTTGCAATGGCAAACAGTAAGCGTGAACGTGTCTTTGCTTGGATTTACAATAAGATAGAAGTGTGGCAGAAACTAGCTTGAGTGCAAGGTGGTCATGGGGGTGAAAACCACAGACTGCAAAGAAATATGCTGGTACAAGGAGCATGAGCCATCACTAGAGACACACAAGAAGAATGAAATCACAAAATATGTGTGAGCTTCGCAGGTCTCAGTTTCCAGACTTTTACAAACTAGAACGGAGTGAACAGTGTTTCTGAAACTCTTCATTTTAGGAGGTCCAGAAAAGTCAAAGTTGTAGCGTGAACCTAGAGGTAAACCTTTCAAAAGTTACAGACTTTAAAACTAAAATATTACCGTGGCTTTGCTCCAAGGTTCAGAACTTATCTGAACAAAATTTACTGCAATGGTTTAATCCTAATCAGTGACGATCCCAAACCTATAGCACCAAAACCAAGCCCAATCCTTTGTTTTGAAGAAAAGCAAAAACATGCACAAACAGAAATTTGCAAAAGACTGTCATCCCCTTTTTGTGTCAGAGAAAGCCACCCTCAATATTTATGCTACACTAAGAACATCCTGACTTGCATAACAAATCAATTGTCTCATTTAACACACAGGAACAAAGAAAAGCCTCACACTTCCCAAAATATTTTAGATGCTGTTCTGAACGTCCCTTTCCTGTTGCTACTTGCACAAGCGGGGAATTCTTTGAAAGCTTGGCATGGAACAGATTTGACTGTGCAGAGCTCAACCTCATCTAACACCTCTGAGATGAACTGGAACACCGGCTGTGAGCCAGGCCAGGCCTCATCACCTGTCAGTGCTGGACCTCAATGCTGCTCTCGTATCTGGACTGAAAAAAGACTACTCTATCAGATCAATCCCAGTGATCCTGGAATATCTGAAAATCCCATAAAAATATTTATCTTTTTTTGGTTATTAGTGTGGATGCTGATTAAGCATCCACAGTATTGTTTTTCTACTTTTAATCTTCCGTACATTTGATTTGTATGCTATGTCCAGTTTCTTCAGAAAATGCATTTTCTAGTTATACATTTTTACTATACATTTTACTTATTATTTATACTATATGTACTATATAAATTATATTATATGGTCTAAATTCAATAAATACGTAAGTTCAGTTCATTCAGTAAGTACAACAAATTCTTCATGTTTCTCTCAAGTATAGGAGATAAACTGTTTGGAAAAATTAAACACACTTTTTAGGGGTTATTAGCATTAAACACACACCGAAACACAGAACAGACAGACAAACAGATGCTATATCAGACAGACAGCCTGCATCTGTGGGAAGCCATACTTCCCTTCGTCCATCCCAATCAGATACACTCCATCTCACACACACACACACAAAAGCAGGATGCACACATGTAGACGAGACACAAATCTTGGCAGCGCTGTTGTTAGCACCTCCTCCGTGTCTGGGTTTCAGCCTAGCGTTAAGTTTGAGACTGCTGTAGTGCTGGTTGTGGTGCTGCGTGCATGCGTGTGTGCGTGCGCATCTACGGAGAAAGAAGCCACTTAAAAGAAAGAACAATGGTCAGAATAAAGGCACCCCAGAGACTCAGAAGAAATAGCCACAAGCAAGGGTAGATGCATAATTATTAGGTCAACTTAAATCGCTGCATTTATTCTCAGTGAGATTAGCACTAATATAATCTACAGTACTAACCAGTACTGTGCAGTACTGACTCATATTGTTTTCTACACTATGTTAACAACTTGTATTTTTTTGAAAGGTTGTATTTAAAAAGCACAAATATCTTACTATAATAATAGTAATAGTAATAATAGTCACATAATAATTTGAAATATATATATATATCAAATTATTCACCTGCCAATGGAATATTATGTTCTCAGTTTGTTTCACATGTAACATTCAATGCACGCTGCCCGTTTAAAACTTAACAGTCACTAAAATTTGTATCCACAATGGAATTTCATTCGGGATGCCACTAAATTCCGAGCAATTTTTTTTTAAAGAACCACGTGTTTTTAAGGAAAGTTTAAATATTTTTCTTTATTTTACTTTCTTTATCGTCAAATTGAAAAACACGTCTATGACCCATCAGGTTATATAAGCCATCAGTAAAGATATTTTAAAAGTTAACAATTTTTAATGAGAGTGTCAGTGATGCGGTAGCACATTCAGCTCATGATCCATTAAAATTCAAAGATAAAATTAAAGAATAAACCTTGGTGTTGACCTAGAGTACAGTTTGGGTGAAGGCCTATTAAATGATCATTGTTTGCAAGTTTCACTAAAATTTGATCAAGAGGAGGAGTGATTGTTGTAAATTGTGGGCAGATGAATGACTCACCATGACATAGGTTCATCTCTAATCTTAGAAATCTAAAGACAGAAGCTGCTAAAATGTGAACAAGGCAAAAATGTAAGAATAACTAAAACAATAACTGCAGAGCAACTCACAGTTATTTCAGCTAATTTAAGTGGTAGGACATAGTGATTATGGCGAACAGCTTCACCTCATGAATGTAAATATGCAGAACAGCCTGTGTGCAGAACAGAGAAAAAGAAAAAGTACAAAACATTTGAAAAGACCACAAGAGAGTTCCCAAAGCCTAAGGTGTTCCTGGTCACCAAAATGCTTGCTTTATCTGATTTGCAGTTTAAAATTTGAATGTACGATGCCAGAAAAAAAAAAATTAATTTTCATATTCACAAAGAAACAAAGAAGCACGACCACTCTGGCCTTCGTTTCACCCTGTTCTGCTTTAAAAACGAAATGCATGTTTAGCAGAAATTACTGCTGACAGCCAAAGCATTTAATTAAAAACAGAAAAGGACTTCAGGTACAGCCAAAAACATAAAACGAAACTGAGGAAGAAGAAAGAATGATCGGGCAATATGAAAATGGAAACAAGATCGATAGAACAAAATATAATTTCATTTAACC